AGCTAAGTTCAACCTTTATGAAGAACTATCATCCCCTTGGTCAATAGGCGATAAAACAGCAAAAGTACGCTACAAGCCAATGGTGCTGTCCATCTGATCACCTTCCATTCCCCCGTAGGCTGTTCACAGAGAAATTCATCAGGCCAGGGGAATTAAATCTCTTAAAAGACATGTTCACGCAAAATGCCCTCATGGTTTTCACTGGCATTAATGCATGTAGGCTTACTTTTTTCGATTTTTCGAAAAATTCACAGTAAGGGCACTCCAAAATCTTCACCCCAACTTGTGGTAAAGTAAAGAAAAACCTCTCTTTCATCAATCACCAAGTAGCAAATGTGCTAACCAATATCACACACTACCTAACAAAAGCACCAATACCTTTCTTATTCGAAAACTGCTGTCTTTGGGCAAAATAAAGGCGGTGGGATCCCCCTTCCCCCCTCCCCCCCCTTTCCAGTCCTCTCATGTGAAGTGCATGAAGAAAAATTCGTTGTTAAAAAAAAAGACCACGTGATCAGTGTTACCACATGACGCAATGTTTTTCTGGTACACGTTCGACACCACTGTCTTTTTTTACCTTATTATATTTCCCTCCCCCTTCTAATTTAATAAGATTCACCGGATTTAGGATCGATTCCGTCTTATGCACAGCCCAGTTAGAGTCACCCAGTGCCGGTTTAGCCCTCAATTTTCCTAATTCCATCCACCCACAGGGCTCAAACGGCCCGTGGGGTCTTTTATTTACCTAAAACGACGTTCAAAACATGAAAACCCACCACGAAAACCCAGAATCAATTATCAAAGAGAAAGAATGAAGCAGCAAACCTCCTGGTGGAGCAGTTCCTATAATTTTCCAAAAATCCGCTACTAATTCATGCCCATCGGGTGCTTCTTTGCCTTGCGGTACCACTTTCACCACTCCGTATATTTCCACGGTGCTTTCTGTACTCAATGTCAATGCATCATATGTTTGACACTAAAAATTTGCTGTAATTATTTTGAGGAATGAAGTAGTACAAGAAAAATTTCAACATTCGTCCTTTACCTTATTCCACCAGAATCACAGCTGATTCCTAATTTGCGGCTTATATCTTTACTATTTCCCTTAGTAAAATATTCACCGATCACTTATTTCCTGATCGTCTGAAGTACTCACAGTGATATTTAGCTAAAACAAGCTACTATGTAAAATCAACAAAAAACGGTGCCTCTACAATTATACTATGATTAGCTGAATATATACCGAAATTCAACAAATAACAGAGTGCCCGACGATATTAGTATCCAAAAATGCATTCACACTGGCCATTATCAGATTATCACCTTTTCTGGTCTCTCCTTAATAACTTTCAGGGACAAATGTTACACGATAAAAGCATCTCTTAACAACTGGCTTTACAGATTTCTTCAACGCAAAACCATAACAGTTCTACAGGGGAGGCATAGAACCTCTAACTGAATGCTGATGACAGGCGGTCCTTGAAAAAGATGGTGATTACATTACTGAGTGAAGAATGTGTGAGTGTTTTATGATTTGTGTATCAGTATTGTATTGTAATGTAATGCAAATTGTATTTTATATACTAATAAAACCGCACCGATTTATGCATCGACCCAATATTTCTGAATAAAAAATTTGGAAAAAAAGTTCAAATTGCACTTTTATATTACCTAAAAACTAAAATAAAAAATTACAAACCAGCTTGTCGGTCAGTACTGCCTGCAGGAAACCAGTCCCATCACGAAGAACCAAAAATGCTAGTGCCTTTCCTGTAAAATATAAGCTTTTATTAGTATGATTTTGAAAGGCTACTTCAGTAGCACTAGTATAAAACTATGACGGGGTTAAAAGGGAACGGAAAAAAAAAGAATGCAGAATTTTGAAGATTTTATAAATTTAAGTAATTTAAAGAAATCAAAAAAAAATAAATATCTAAGCTTACAAATAATACGATAAAAGGCTAAATTGAGGAATCTGCGCAATTCAGCTGTGCAAAATAATTAAACATTCGAGCAAATTTCGAATCCAAAACTAGTGGTACCAAGGTATGATCTAGTGCTGGCTAGAATATGATGGTCTTTTCCTCGTCCTGCGTCTGTATCTTTAAAAAAATCGATAATTTCGCGCTAAAAATTCAAGCAATCATGATAATTAACTAAGATAATTTACCTTGTCTTCGAATTCGATGGACCCATGCGCAGATCCGGACACGTTCATCACGATGCTTCACCAGATCACGGATTTTGCAACCGCAAAGACATGGTAAACTCGAATCTAACTCAATGCGCACTTTCTTCGATTCCTCCAAAGCTGCCTGTGCTTCTTCTTGCTAAAAAAAGCAGCAAAATTTTTCAAAATTTCCTCAACTGAACAGAAAACCTCATGCGTCCCATCTATTACTTAAAAATTTGAGTCCCCCTCCGCCCTCCTACCCCTCCTCCCTTCGCGATATAAAGCTACAAACGCATTTTTTTTCATAGTATTTTATTGTTAAAGTAAATTTTTTTTTACTTGAAGCATTTTTTTTTTAAATTTCAGTAATTTAAGTAATTTTTAATTCTTAAGTAATTTAAAATTTTAAATTTAAGTAAAAAATTTTTAAGTGAAAAAAAGTAAATTAAGTAAAATAATGTGATTTAAGTGCAATACACGCATCATGGAACAGCTCAAAGCTTCAAACGAGTGATTTTCATGGTTCGATTTTGCAAATTCCATGGTTTGACTTTTTTTTGTTCAGGGTTTTCCCCAAAATAAATTTTTTAAATATTACAAATACTGCAATTTTAAAGACCTAAACTTCCCCCCTTATAAGAGTGGATCGCGGGAGGTACCGCGAGGAGAGGGAGGAGGGGGGGGGGGCACCA